TGACCACGCCTGTATTTAATTTGACCCCAGTTGTGACCCCTCCTAATGTAATTTCACACCAGTTATGACAACTCCAGGATATAAATCTGACCCCAGTTCTGCCGTCTTCACGCGCAGGGTCATTAAACCACTAGCAACCCTAAACCCTCTTTTTGCTTAGGCGGATTCCCACTGCCCCCCCCCAAAAAAAACGAACTGACACCAAGGCGTTTTCTGTTCTCTGTTTTCTGTTTTCTGTTTTCGTTGGCTGGCGCCATCAGCCATTTTGGTCCGGTAGCGCAGTTCATCCGAAGAACCCGGAATGTCGCATTCTCAATTCTAAAGCTGGGCTGGGCATGGTACTGGTGTTTTCGTTTTTAACAAACAGGGAAAAAAAAAAAAAAGGTACTGGTGGTTTAAAGTTGTAAACAGAGCAACTCCGGTCTAGATACAGCGAGGCGCCCCCGCGCAGTCAGGCCGAGCGGCGCCGAGCGGTGACATGCGGCGGAGCAGCGCGAAGTCGAATCAAACGGCGCTGGACGGCAACAAGCGGCGATGCGGGGGGAGTGGATTCGGGGTGGTGTGAGGTGGTGGTTGAGAGGTTTTGGGTGAAGGGATGATGATGGGAAGGATGGCGATGAGGGTGATGCATCGTGCGGAGAGGATGACGCTACTACGAAGAGGCTGCTTGTGAAGGGCTGTGAAGGGTATGGGCTGCCAGCATCATCATCAGAGTTACGAACGGCGGGGTGTCACGTGTCCAAGGAAAGAGTTAGGTGCTGAAGGGCAACGAAGGGCATGGAAGGTATGTTCCCCCCCGGACTACCTGTGAGGGGTCACCGGCAGGTTCGGTGGTTTTGTCTTGCTACGTGGCAAGTGAGGGGTAAAGTGAAGCCACGGTCCGTTAGTCCTTATTGTTCAGTCTTTTTTTGATGGCCGAGAGAGTGGCCATGTGATGGCTGAGTTGCCTTCGGGCCGATAAGGGAAGGGGATGAAGGTTTGGGGGAGACAGACACATCATGATGGGAGGTTAGTAACTTAGTTTATATGCTTTGATCCATAGTTTTGCTCTTCGTGGCTTGAGTGACCTCCGTTTTTTCGTTTTTATCTCGTTTTTGGAAGTAGCTTCAAGATAGTAACCTGATTTCGATTGTCAGATGATTGTAAATCCGATTTTTTATTCTAATCTTTGGTTTTCGAATTTAATCTTTTGGAAATTTCTATTTGATTTTCTCATGACAGGTAGCTTTAGGTTTTTCAATTCTAATTTGATTCAAGAACTGCGGACTCATGAATGACTTCAAAATTTTCCGAATAATTCTTGATTTTATCCTATCATGTTGATGATCGTAAATCAGAGTTTCGCCTCTGATCTCGAATAATGATTTCTAACTTTTCAGATTCTCAATGAACTCGTGAAGAATAATCCACAAACCTGATTCCAGACAGTGGAATCATGAATGATCTCCAAAATTTCAGAATAACTCTCAATTTGTTCTTTTCATATTGACGATCGTAAATCAAAGCCTCGTCTCCGATCTTGAATAGTGATCTCTAACTTTTTAGAATTTCGATGGTCTCGTGAATTTGTTGGATCTTGTTTTTCCTGATGCTTCGATTCTAGTGTTTCGTTCTTGCACTGGTCGTTGTGATACACTCTTGATTGTGAGGGCTTAGTAGTGGGAGGGGGGTGACGCGTCTTGCTGGCGAGAGGGTCAGTCGATAGGACTAAAATAGGGCATAGTAGCAACGGAGATGGTGGCTCCGTTGTGATAAGTCTTGCCGGAGGCGGATCAGGGGGAGTGTTCAGGTGGTTTGGGGGTGTTGAGCAGGACAGGTGCGTGGAGGAAGTCGGGCATTTCGAAGCCTTAGTTGCCACGGTGTGTTCAGCAGATTATCCGACGGTGGGTTATCGCCATCATGTCCATAAGGTTAGGGTTGGCCGATGCTAGAACGACGCTGGCCGGAGCTGGGGTTTGGTTGCGCTGCCTTGTAACTTGAGCATGCGGGGGTTAGAGGCCTGGTAGAGAGATCTAGGGAACTGCCGAGGGTGGAAGGCAGTCCAGTGGCTAACTGCGAGCTGGTATTAGGACGACGCGGGTCGGAGCTCGGGTCGGTCGCGCCCCCCTGTAACCCAGCGGTTGGGGGTGTGAGGCCTGGAAGAGCCTGGTATCTTGGATATGTCAGTCGAGGCAGCCGGAGGATAGTCGGTTGATAACATTGGGGCAACAGGTTTCTTGTTTATATCTACTTCCAGATAATCCCAATGGGTTCTCATTTTTCATGAGTAAGTCTGATTTGTTTTCGGGTGGTCGTGATATCGCTTCAGGATCCTGGGGGCTTCTTGCCACTCACTGTAGGCTTCTCTGATGTAGTTATATTCATAGATCTGTGGTGGTTCGATGACGGAACGTCGCGGTTGGCTGGTGTTGGAAATAGAGGGTGGGATATCAAGCATCCTACTAGTGAGGCGGCTAGGTGGTAGGATGGAAGTAGGGTACAGCAGCAGCGGAGATGGTGGCTCTGCTGCGGTAAGTCTGGCCGGAGTGAGGTAAGAGGATGGATTGGGGTTTCTGGGACGTTCTCTGAACTTTTGCTTACGTGAGTGGGAGAAGTAGAGGGTGGGATAACAAGCGTCCTACTAGTGAGGGGGCTTGCTGGTAGGATGGAAATAGGGTACAGCAGCAGCGGAGATGGTGGCTCTGCTGCAGTAAGTCTTGCCGGAGTGAGGTAAAGAGGATGGATGTGGTTTTCTGAGGTGCTTCCTGAAGTTTTGCTTATTTTCTGAATTTTGCCATAGTAATTCTTAATCTAGCTCCAATTTTTCTTCGCCAAAGCCGGGTAATGGCCCTGGTACCCCAAACCTTCAAAATTGTCTTTCAGTTGCTTCTGGTGGTCTCGAAATGCTGTTATACTCATAAATCTGCGGTCAGAACGACGCTGGTCGGTGTTGGAAGTAGATGGCGGGATATCAAGCGTCCTACCAGTGAAGGGGTTAGCTGGTAGGATGGAAATAGGGTATAGCAGCAGCAGAAATGGTGGCTCGGCTGCAGTAAGTCTTGCCGGAGTGAGGTAAAGAGGATGGATGGGGGGTTTCGAGACGTTTCCTGAAACTTTGCCTAGGTGAGTGGGAGAAGAAGGTTGGATATCAAGCGTCCTACTAGTGAGGGGGCTAGCTGGTAGGATGGTAATAGGGTACAGCAGCGGCAGAAATGGTGGCTCTGCTGCAGTAAGACTTGCCGGAGTGAGGTAATGAGGATGGAGGGGGGTCCGAGTCTGTTCCCGAATTTTTGCCTATTGTCGGTGGCTTGTTTGTATCTCTTTATCTAGCTCTTAGCCGAAGCCGGGTAGTGGCCCCGGTACTGCAAATTCTCAATTTTTTTCGAAATCCTCTGTGATTTTCTTTATGGGACGCTGGGCCCGGTTCCCAGCACGTGTTGCTCGCCACGAATAGATTGGAGCTTTGTTAAAAGAAAAAAAAAAAAAAAAAAAGGGTCTAAATACAGCGATAATGGCCGTGCTTTTTTTTCCGCCTCTTTTTTTGGGGGGACAGTGCGTTCTATTCGCGGGAAGGTGGCAGTGTGAGCAAGCCCTAAGGGCGGTACATACATGTGACCAGATACTGAAAGTTTGGGAAACCCTGATGACTGACGAAAGCTACTTCTTTTTGCCCTTATGACGAGAGCAAAGGCGGATGTTGTCGGTTTGAACCTTTGACCTTATGAGGTGATCAGGTAAGACAATTGAGTGATTGAGCAGTCTAAAGACTCTAAACTTTATTATTTGGGAAAAAGAAAAAGTTCAGGTCTAGAGTCTAGACAGAAGGAAGACATCCTCATCAAGGACTTGGAAAAAGTAGATTTTGCTTTTTGCCAAGCTTTACTCATCTAGTTAGCGCTGGCAGTAGACTACGGTTAGGGCCAGGTTCTGTCGGTGCTATCTTTATGCCTGGAGGGCACGAACCTGACCGACATATTGGTGCTTGCATACCAAGAACATGGTACCAGTGGGACCTGGCCACAATGTCGGGTCAGGTAGTTATCGACTCTCGGGATCGCTTTGCTGCATACACTCACATCCAAGTACTTTTCCTCACCAAGTTTTCAAACAGAAAAAAGTTCAAAAAACGGACTGTTTCCAGCTTTTTGCACCTTCAATCCTTCAACATTGAAGACTACCTTCTCTCTCTCTCTCTCTCTCTCTCTCTCTCTCTCTCTCTC